GTTGGCCGAATTGCAATAGAGACTCGCACGAATATACATTTAAAAAATGAACATTATTCACGTTGAGGTGAATTGTCTTTTCTTATCTGTCTAAGGACTTTGATTTAGAGGGAAGTCTAGTTTAATACGATCGATGTCTAAAGTTGAAACTAATGGACGTCCAACAAGAAACAGCTGGGTCAAAAGGGTTAAAGCTTTTCGTAAAATCGAAAACGTGGCAGGAGTATTTCTTTGTTGTATTGGGCTGTCTGTAAAGTCCATGCCGATTTTTAGTAGACGGTACAGATCTGAATATATCGGAATGGCTGAAAACAAATAACATCTGTACATTCCTTGAAAGGTGGAAAGGTTGTGGAACAAAATTGTACATATGTAATTCAATATACATCAAAATTCAAATATGCCTTTGAATTTTTCTTAAAAATAGGCATGAACTTTCCGTAGTTGTAAGAAACTTTGATTAAGTTCCTGTGGACTTCTCTCGTCGATGGATCACGCATTCCTGCAGCGGTAAAAATGGGAACAGGCAGGTCAAGAGTATGTTTACTTGATCCTTGCGTACGGTGTCAAAAAAGTACCGTTCTCGCAGCTTCCAGGCGAAGGAGAGTTCTCCTCAGGAACGAAAGGACTGTTAGTATAAATCACGCAGGAAAGGTGACATCCTCCGTTCGTTTTGGAGGAAGATGAAAATCGTGTTTCGGACTGCGATGCGACCGCATTTTTTTTTCACCAGTAAAAAAATCACGTTCTCTAGGACCTGTAAAAAAAACCGCATCACGTTTCGTGTATTAATAACAGGTATCGCGAGGAAGCTCCCGAGGAGTCGGCTCGCCGATGGAATGCGTCGTGAAACGATTGTCATCGTGTGACACGACGAATTCCATTGCGCCACGCCAAAATCTCCCGAATCATTGTTATCCTGCCGCTACTATAGTAGCACTGTTTTGACCCTCGTTTGGATATATAACCGACACCCCGTTCGTGCTTAACGAGCGTTCAAAATCGTTTTTCAGGGGGGTTACGAAAACATTAGATGCGAAAATTAATTCCGCGCCTAAAAACAAGCGTCAAAGCAATCCGTGTTCTTCGTGAAACTTTAAACTAGAGAGAACGAATTTCTAGAAAGTTAATTTCTAGAGAATTAATTTCTATACTTGATTCGTTAGGTGATCTACAGAGGGTGGTCGAGTACATCTAATTGTTTACGGTCCCGAAATGGAAATAAGTATCCGGTAGAAATTGTTAAATCATCTCGAAACAAAATACGCGTGTACGGGGATCCGTGATTTTCTTATAAATCGTTTCCATGAAACCGAAATTATGGTCTCGCAAATAGCCGTTTGATGCCGGTAGTTTTTTCAGATGCTCGAGGGCCGAGACAACACGTGAACATTATTAAATCGTTCCTGGTAAAGTGGACCGTCATAAAGGTCGTTTAAACCGGCGCGTGCGTTGTCCTTCGTTGCTGTGGATGAAATACACATACGTAAAAGGAGGGAATCGTGGCTTTTTTGTTCTATAAAATGGGATTTACACCGCTTATCTGCGTACCACATCTATCGCTTAGAGATATACGATAGGACCACTTCTAGCCCGTGAGTTTCTTTTTTTTATTTCTTTTTTTTTTTTTTTTCTTTCTTTGACCGGTGAACGTGATCGAAATTATAAGTAAACTTTTCATCTAAACGTGGCCTTTGACTCTCTTCTCGGTAAACTGGCCCCCCGAGAAAGCAGATACGACCGGTCAAACGCGATCCAGTTTATCCACGTTGGCTTTTGGACCACAAAATGGAATTTTCCGTTTCCGAGGAAGCCAAAAACCAGTCGGGAGTTCGAATAATAACGCTAGCTAGTCACGTTTGTCCCAAGTATCCTCCTCGAGGGAACCGTTTGTAACGTTACAATTCGATTTGTGCGCCAATGAAAACGTAGATACCAATTTTCAACGCTCGGATCCCGAAAAACGTTGCAGGGTATGTTTGAAAATTACGCTACGTTTAAATAAAAATTCAACGTCGATTCTCGAATTAATATCGACAATTCTTCAAAAGTTCTCCGGGAGGCTAGCAATTTCTTAACAACGGTCACCCGTGCGCGTACGCGACGCGCATGCGCGATAGATCTGATATACCGGTAACAAATGACATCGTCGAACTGGCATAGTCACTATCTCTCCATCTCCCGTGGATCGCGAACGCGCAACTATTGTCCCGTCCGGCGCTGCCGTTCCCGACTGTACGCCGACGACAATACATCCACCGCGCCAAATTAACTCGCCAGGCATGGTATTGTCCACGAAAGACGTTCGCGGCTTTCTCGAACGATGGACTATAGTTTCGCTGGTCGCGAGGGTAGCTTAAGCGAGCCTAGTTAGAAGACATGACGCCGGGTTATGAGTACGAAGTAGAGATACGGGAAGGGCTTTGGTTGTAACACGTGTTGTTAACCGGTTCTACCTTAATTGTCTTAAACGGAGACCATCATAATTCTGGCTTTATCTTGCTGCGACCCAACGTCCACCGTCGCGGCATCGGAAACCGCGGAACAATTTCCTAGAACAATGGTTCTCTTAATACTAGTAGGTTTGTCGGTTCGTTGTTGTTTGCTATCAAGGTGATTGTAGAGAACAGGTACATCCTCACCGATTTCGATGATTTTTAAATATGTTGTAGAGATATTTGCAAGATACCATTGTAGATACGGCGTGCAAAATCACTAATCGTTATTTATCACAGTGATCGCAAAATCACGATCACGATGGTGATTTAATTTCATTCGCGTGGGTGATCGTGATCTAATTTCATACACGAGCGTGACCGTGATTCTTTTATCTTGCTAGAATTGCGTGATCACAATTCTTGATCTTAATTAAATTACTTTTTTATAAAATCTTTCAATATGTATAGTTCGCATACAAAAATCCGCATATAATATCAATTTCAATTTCCTTTATTAAGTAAATTAGTAGATCATTTGTTTCGCGTGGTGGCTACTTCAGTCCCATGCGAAAGAATATTTTCTAAAGCAGGATTACTTTTAACGGATAAAAGAAACAGATTGCAAGCAGAGAAATTCATTCTTGAACAGCAATACATAGTTACTCATTTGTTATTATATATATTTTATTCCATTGTTATTTTGTTGTTTGTATTTTATTTATGGTATTCGCATGATGTTTTATGTATTAATTATATTATTTTCTAACAGTGTTACATTTTGTAAAAGTCTAAAGACACTTACAACTAAACTAAGACTTGCTATTCGTAATTATTGACTTATATTCATTACTCTTCACTGTTCCTCATTAAAGCGTTCCTTTATTTACTATATACGTGCGACAAGGACGGAAAGCGTAGACTGTGCGAGAGAGATGGTAACATGATGCGACAAGGATGGAGAGTGTAGATGATGTGCGAGAGAGAGAGAGAGGGAGAGAGAGAGAGAGAAACATTGTGCGACAAGGATAGCGACTATATCTGCCACCTATCAAACGTTAATAATAATTTCTAAATTTTCCAAAGATAATTTATGATTGAGTAATTATTAACAATAATTGGACAAGGTTACACGGACGACATCGTTACGACGGCGATACACCTTGCATTAATCGATTGTTTCTTAATTATCTACAGACAATTTGGGGATTTAAGTATAACATAAATAAAGCCTGAAACAATTCAAGTACCCATTATCAGTACGATTCTGATTGTTGTCAAGTAATTATTAACGATAAATCATCGCGAAGTGTCGTGGACAGGACCGAGCATAGTGCTGCCATCTATTCGATAAGCGTCCAAGCATGTCGAGAAATAGTTTCTACTTTAAGCCGTTATATGGCGCCAGTAATTTAAAATCAATTAATAGTCGAAAAACACCGTTTCAACTCAATTTGAATATGCATTAAGCTTAAATTATGCATGTAGTATAGTTAAAAGTTGATCATTTAATGTATTAAAGCAATTTAAGCGTGTAATTAATGGGTACGGGTTGTTGCGCCATCTAGCGGTGAAAAATGATAACTATTTCTCGACAAGCGAGCATTTGTTGGATAGATGGCAGCACTCTGATAGGTATCGCTATCCTTCTCGCGCAATGTTGCCTTCTCACTCTCTCTCTCTCGCACACCATCTACGCTCTCCATCCTTGTCGCACGTATACCTTTCCTCCTCGCACTCACACTCCACTTGAGCTTCGGCGCTCGCCGTTAGATGGCTATACAAGATGGCTTAGATGGCTATATAATAAAGATTAGCATCTTTATTATAGTGGTAAGGTTTAGTTACATCCCTTGTTTCACTTCTATGTGATTCGCAATCTTTTACTTATCGCCTATTAATCGGTCAACTCGCATCCTTCCATACCATTCGCACTTCTGCCTACCATTCCGCGCGCTTTGTTCAAATCTAGTTTTCTCTCTCATTCGTCCGTACCTATACTTCTGCCTACCACTATATTTGCGATTGTCACGTTCTTCATTTTCGCTGTCTTGTCCCACAATATTGCCCTCTCTCTCTCTCTCTCTCTCTCTCTCTCTCTCTCTCTCTCTCTCTCTCTCTCTCTCTCTCTC